CAGGCTCCACGATGACATGTCATACACACACAGGTGTCAGTCTACAGGCTCCACGATGACATGTCATACACACACAGGTGTCAGTCTACAGGCTCCAAGATGACATGTCACAACACAGGTATCAGTCTAAGGCTCCACGATGACATGTCACACACACAGGTGTCAGTCTACAGGCTCCACGATTGCATGTCACACACACAGGTGTCAGTCTACAGGCTCCACGATGACATGTCACACACACAGGTGTCAGTCTAAAGGGTCCACGATTACATGTGACACACAGGTGTCAGTCTACAGGCTCCACGATGACATGTCACACACACACAGGTGTCAGTCTAAAGGCTCCACGATTGCATGTGAAACACACACAGGTGTCAGTCTACAGGCTCTACGATGACATGTCACACACACAGGTGTCAGTCTAAAGGCTCCACGATTGCATGTCACACACACAGGTGTCAGTCTAAAGGCTCCACAATTGCATGTGAAACACACACAGGTGTCATTCTACAGGCTCCACGATTGCATGTCACACACACAGGTGTCAGTCTAAAGGTTCCACAATTGCATGTGAAACACACACAGGTGTCATTCTACAGGCTCCACGATTGCATGTCACACACAGGTGTCAGTCTACAGGCTCCACAATGACATGTCACACATATAAATGTCAGTCTACAGGCTCCAAGAAGACATGGCACACACAAAGGAAAAAATAGTTTTACGCCGCTTTTAGCAATATTCCAGAGGTATCACGAGGTGGACACCAGAAATTGGCTTCGCACATTGCAGCCATGATGGGAATCGAACCCGGACCCTTGGCGTGACGAGCGAACGCTTTCTACGTTTGGGAATCAATCCCGGATTTCAGGGATATCAAGCTAATGCTTTAACAATTAGGCCACCGCCACATGGGGTACTCACGCGCTGCAAAGTGTCCTCTGAAAAAAAGTTTTAACGCCACACTCAGCAATGTTCCAGCTATGTGACGGCGGCCTGTAAATAATGGAGTCAGGACCGCACAAACCAATGATTGACATCACGTGCATCGTTCTACGCAATTGGGATCGATGACATGCATCAACCAAGTCGGCGAGCCTGACCACCCGATCCCGTTAGTCGCCTCTGACGACAAGCATGGGTTGCTGGAGACCAGGTATAACCCGGTTCTTCACGGGTTAAAAATAAGTTAATACTGTGCTACCTCAATGATAGTGACACAATAAAACATATCAGGACTGTAAACATTCCTCTTTAAATTTGTTAAATGTGTTATATGTCCATATGCACGTTTGGGTTTGAGGTCTATATTAAACATATAGGTATTGTGCAATTTACATCAGGCAAACGTTTTGTGCCGGAATTATTATGTCTATGACGGAAATTGTCGACTGTAACATCGTCTGCCCACGTTAAACTGGAACCAGTCACGTGTTGTGGCGCTTAATGAGGAAGCTCCTTACATCATCACATTCAGTGAAGGATTGTTCAGAGTTTTGAAATTCTTAAAATAGTGCTGATGAAAGTCATCTCACCATCGATCAATAATGTTTGATGCAAGCATGCTGATAGCAATTTCATTCTGTTAACCACGAGGTCTCTCCCTCGTGTTCATTTCAGTCAGATAGACTGGTGTTAGCACGTGCAATATGAGCCATCTCTCACCGTTGGTAGCCTGAGGTGTACGAGATATCCGTTCCTAGCTTATTGTCGTTACGAAAACTGGTGTTAGCACGTGCATATACAGGTTACCTCCAAGCTTACTGCACTCACACAGACTGTTGTAGCACGTGCATTCCGAGGTATCTCTCAAAGCCTCCAGGCAACACCTCACACGTTTCATTTGGGGGGCAATTATGGTTGCTGACAGATGTATAGCACATTTAAAAAATCCTGAAATATAAGTGGTTGTTGTCGTCAATATGAGCACTGAGCAAATATATACACGGGGGTTATTGTGTGGATGGTGAGTGGAATTTGTCCAAAAAGGGAAAACAGGTTTTAAAAATGAACTTGATGACAAATTACTACACAGCTGTCACACTGTTATGTGTGAGTGAGTACGTATGTGCTATCCACATGCAATATTCCAGCTTTATGACGGCGGTATGTAAATAATCGAGTCTGGACCACACAATCCTGTGACATCATGAGCATCGATCTACGCAATTGGGAAACGATGGCATGCATCAACCAATATTCTTCAAGACTCATGTGGGGATTACGGGGATTAAATGTCCCCAGCATCCCTTGAGGTATCCGAAGAGGATCGGATGGTCTGGTTCGGTGACTTGACTGAATGCGTGCCATCGTACCAGTGGAGTGGGTAGTTGTTGCTCATGCTTTCACTCACTTGTTTGCTTGGGGCAGGCTGGATAAGAAACAAGCCTGCTATATATCTAGTATTTCGCTGCCCGCAGCGTTCATCAATATTGTGAATAATAGACATCCCGTATTCTGCCCGTGTAGTTCGGACGCCTTAACCACTTGACTACCGCTACCTCACCCTCCTGTTCTTTAAGACAAGTCCCCCCACACAACACTAATTATATTAACCTGTTCAAAGTCAGGGCAAGATTTGTAAATGGATTCTCTTCACACACCTCTCCATTAACGAATGCTCTGAGTCCAGCCTACGCTATTGCCTGGTCAAGGGTAATATGCGATGACGTTTATCCACTTTAACTGGTCCAACAAGACGGGGACAGGCGAGGTTACAATCAGTTAAAGGTGACAGTATCGGCGTGTGTTATTTTAGTTGTCAAAGGATGATTTAAATAACTGTATGAGTGAGTGAGTTGGCTGTATTCCAGTTATTTCACGGCATGGCAGCTTGAGGAAGTGATGCAGGTCTTGGACGTTTACCACTTTGTGGGGTATTGTGCTAGAAAGCCTAGAAATATAACGATCGGGAAAACTTGGATGTGAACCCCAGCCGGACGCAACTGTGCACAGCGACTTGCGGCGTCATGGGCGACTTGGCTATCCGCGCGCGCGTGTCCGCGTGTGTGTATGTGTGTGCCTGTCTGTGTGCGTGCGTGTGGGCCTTGGCTATTTTGCTAAATAACTTTATTCTTAAAAGGCGGATACACATGACATATATCTCAATAACCTGTTACAGGCGAGCTCCCTTGGTGACGTGACTTCCAGTTATATCACGCTGCGTTAATTTAATCTGGGAGTGTTGCAGGTGTTCGACGTTTACAACATTGGTGAAACCACGAGCACGGGTATGGTGCTGACAAACCTAGAAACATAATCGGAGCGAACAGGGATTCAAACCCACAGTCATAGGTTTCTGTCGTGCCCAAGGGACGCAACTCTGCACAGCGAATTACGGCGCCGGAGACGAGTGGGTCACCAGACTGCCATCACCAGATTTCCACAACCGGATTGCCACAACCAGACCGCCATAATCAGATTTTCACAACCGGATTGCCACAATCAGACTGCCATTACTAGATTTCCACAACCGGATTGCCACAAACAGACTGCCATTACTAGATTTCCACAACCGAATTGCCACAACCAGACCGCCATCATCAGATTTCCACAACCGGATTGCCACAATCAGACTGCCATTACTAGATTTCCACAACCGAATTGCAACAACCAGACCGCCATCATCAGATTTCCACAACCGGAT